TCCGCTTCTCTCAAACGGGAAAAGTACGGCTTTGCCGCGGTGGCACCGAGCCTCTTGATCAAGAAGAAAATGTTTTGATCTAGGTCCTCCTTGAACTCCTCGAAAGAACAGTTATCCTCCAGGACGAGTCTGATGCAGTCAACCAAGGTGTCTTCAAAGTAGACCAAGGCTCGTGCGGTGCTCCTCTTCCGCAAACGTTCCAAGGGAGAAAGGGCTGCCCCCTCCGCCAAAGACGAGGTTACGACTGAAGTGCTGATGGTCATAACCGCAGAAATAGGGGTGGGCGACGCCAAAGCCGGTAGGGTCGCCGATGCCATCGGGGTAGCAACCGTGGCGTCACTAGCCACTACAGAGGAGGAAACAGCCACCAACCGAGTAGGAGTCCCCCTCTAAGTCGGAAGCTCTCGTGACAAGGGTTCCCCACCAATCAATGCTCCCGCGGGAATGGAGGTTTCCTCTTGTTGGCTGGACTTGTCCTCAGGAGCCAACCCCTCTTCCTCGCTAGACAGCGCCTCGTGAATCGAGACGTCGTCATCCGCCTCCGATAAGCCCATTTCTCCGCCTGAATGACCCTCCTAAGAAGGAGGATCCTCCTTGCCAGTAGCTTCATGAGAAGGGCCGTCTGCGGATGCAAAAGAAAAGATTGACAAATGCCCCTTCGGCTCAGGAAGATCAACAACATCTAAGCCTAGGCTTACCTGAATCGCCAGTCTCTTTTCCATCTCCGATCTCCTCCTCTTCGTCCGAAGGGATAGAGATCACTCTCTCAGTTGCACCTGCTCAGATTAAACACTAATGTCAGATGATACAAGATCCGGCTTTGTGCTCGAGAATACTAAAAATCATTACCTCCGAGTGCGGGCGTAGGGGTCGTTGAGACCCCCGCCTGTGGTCCCACGCCAGGTGGAGGGGGAGTATCCTTCGAAGTCGCCGGAGCCGCCTTCGATGCGGCAGGAGAGGTAGACCAAGCAGCTCCAGCCCCAGAGGCATCGTCATCCTGACCCTCCGCCGCTCTAGCGGCCTCCATAGTTTCCTCGCGACGGGTCTTCTTAGCCGCTTCCACTCTGGAACCCTCCGCCATCATCTCCCGCTGCCGCTTGGAGAGCAGCGAACTACTCGGAGATAGAAGCGGCGTTCCATCCGACCGCTATCACGGCTCCGGGCTCGCTCCAGCGCTCTCGCCCGCCCAGGACTAACTCCTCAGAATTCTAGCCCTCACGCCTGAGGTCCAAACGAAAGACCACAGAGACAGGAGCTCGGGTCTCAGCACGCTCAGATTCGTCTAGACCCGCCGTCCGCCGCCCTCAACCGTCGTCAGCTGGGTCCTCCAAGAAGCCACTGCCTTTTTTAAAAGCAGCTTGTTGGCGACCCCTTCCGTCTCGAAGAACGGAGAGGCCTTACGGGGGACGCCTTGTTCCGCCAACACGAACCCTAGAACCAGAGCCCTCGGATTAGCGCTACCCCGCCCGATACCACGCAGTACAGGAGAGTGTGATCAAATTCACGCGTTCCTTCGGCGTAGCTCGAAGGCGGGCCTGGGTACCACCAGCATGGGCTCCAGAACGCACCGCAGCTCCATCCACTAGCCATTCCTTCGAATTGTGCAGATGCGCGCGAATTGGCGTTGCCCACGTACAATTGATCGATAACCCAACTGCGTGCGAACCGGGCAGGGGATAATACCACTCAAGATAGCACACGGAGCCTGTTCGTAGGATATGATACCCCGGCCGAATGTTCACCAACTAGCGGAAGGCGCCACGAGAGAGAACTGTGTGATGATCCGCTGTCGGCGCATCTCTAAAAGACTCCCCGTATCCTCCTCCACTGAAAAGGGGAAAGAAATGGCGGAAGTTGTAGTGGACGAAATGGGAAAGCATCTTCCGCTCGTCGGGAATGTCCTTACACTTCCAAGAGCACTTCCCCAAGCGCTCAATGAACGGAACAAACCTGTCTCCCTGAAGAGTCGCAGGGGCGCTCATCAAACATTCGCAATGGCAGACGAACCATGCCATCAAATAAGTATACGGCAGTCCCACTCTGGGATTAGGGGTCCTGATGACTTCCCCTTCCCCTTCGTCGATAGCCGACACACGGCAGAATTAGGCCGTCAGGGTACGGAGCCCCCGGTGGATACACGCTATTGTCGCCGATACCAAGGAATAAGACTTCCCATGGGCTAGGCAAACCGCCGGATACACAACTTCCACAGGAAGAGCCTCAAAAGAGTGAGTGGGGATTACGCACCTCTTCAACCACAACATGAGATACCCTGCAAGCAAGGCCTTCCCAGATATAGGAGACTTGGCCTGGTGGTGGGATTTGAATCCGCCCTCGTCACGCTCAAGAACTACTGTGGCTTCCTCTTCGGCCATCCGCCTTTCCACTTCAGCCTGGTCGTACCCGCCTAGAGGAAGAGCAGGGTTCCCCTTGACATCGCTCCCCGGGAATAGGTAGTTAGCCCAATTCTTGTGACTGATCCCCGGAGTCCTCTTCTTCTTCCCCTTGTGATCCGTAGCCCCTAAGGTGCTGAGGAAGATGTGGTAATGACAGAGCAACTCCCACAGAGTTTCCACTACCAAAGGGGAACAGTCGAAAAGCTGGTCGATCTCCTCCTGGCTTGGGACGTACTCTTCGTAGGGGAACTCTCCCAGAGGCAGCCCTGACACGTCATACATCTCATGGTGGGTTATGCCAAGTTCGCCGTTGGGGGTGAAGAATGTGCCGCTCTCCGCACAGTACAGTTCCAAGATACTGTGGAACTGGGAAGCATTGATCCTCAAACCATGTCGAGTGGCCCGAATGGCCACATACAGCTCCGAATTCTTAAGATCAGAATTCTCAGCCAGGACATAGTCGGTGATCTTGGACCACCAAGTGTCGCTACCGGGCGCAGAATATACCCATCCAGGAGCTCTGAAGTCTTTTGGGGGGAATCTCCCTCCAACTCGGAAGAAGCGATGACGGAAAGTCTCCGCGACCGCCGTCGTCTCTCCTACCGGCGGCTCATTGGACAGTAGGCCAGGGCGCAGACCCGTCACGTGCTTGCAAGAACTCTCCATGCCCTCCATACCCAGCCGTAGAACCCGTGAAGACGCCGCAAGTCACCCCATCTTGAGTGGGGGTCAAGTCCCAATTCATCGTCCTCGAGACCACGAAGGAACGCATCTCGACGATGGAGAATCCCCTCGGCATGTTAGGGAGATAATAAGGGACCCCGTCCATTTCACAGAGCCACCTTCTCTCCTTGATCAACAAGGCGGAAGGATCAGTCACGACGTCGCCGAACAAAAACTGGGGCTTCTGTAACTCTGTCCTGGCCTCGTTTGTCAACACCGCATCGGTGGTCAGCTCACGCAGCATCAGGTGGTGCCCGTCAGTGACTCTCCTTACCAAGCCATCCGGCCTATCAGCAGAGAACACAGTCACCGGATTCAAGGAGGGAAATCGGGGAGGCGCCGTATAGCCTGTGCCCCCGGCGAGACCGATGGCCGCGCCCTTCGGAAGGGCTTCACCAGAAAAGATCACTGCAAGAAAGGACCAAAGAGTCAAGATGGGATCCGCCCTAAGGGCAGATCCGCCAATCAAGCAAAGACGGGCGAATCCGCCTATCAAAAGCGAGTCTCGCTCAACTAAGAGCAGGATCCGCCCGCGAAAACGATATTCTCCTTTATCAGAGGAAAAGTCAAACTCGCCTATCAAGAAACGAGTTCGCCTTCGCTTAGTGAAGGTCAACTTCACCTATGGAGGCGGAAATCACCCTCTATGAGTCAGTACAAAATCCGCCCAAAAAGGGGGGCGATTTTGCCCTAAATCAGAGAAACTACCAAAAGACAACTGAATCCAGGGAGGACAAGCAATGCTCATTCTCCCCTACCCGACGCCTGTGACCGACACAAAGTCATCAGACAAATCTATCGACTTACCCAAGGGTGTCTCAGGTATGCGGGCGGGCGCACCAGCAGAAAGACGGTCGAAATAGCGCCCGGGACCTCCTCCTTTCGCGACACACTTCTTGGATTTCGGCGCCATTGAGGGGATTAAGCGGGAACTCTCTCTCTTTAGGAAATTTTCAGGATTCTGGAGCACGGTAACTCTCAAAGAAAGGGAACGGCCTATTTAACGGAGGAGTGGCCAACGTGGCCACGATCGCCCTCAAAAAGCGAAATACTGGCGGACGAGAAACGTGACCACGATCGAAATTAACGATCCAGATTGCCCCCTGACATTTCGAAGTGCCACATCGAGGCGGGAAACGGGTCGGGCGAAAAACCCCAAATCTGAACGAAAATCGACGGTTGTATCTGACGGTTGGGTTCGAAAACCACGGCCACGATTCAAACGGAGAACACGAAGCTTGCGTCAGAACGCGATGTGACAGAACCACGCCGTTTTAGCTGGAAAGCAGGAAGTCCACTAGCGGACGCGTGGCTCACCCACACCAAACCGAGTTCGCCCGAAAAGAAAGGTCTCGCCTACGAGAATTCGACCCAAATCCGCAAGTCGAGCGGAATTTCGCCTCCAAAACCGAACTTTGCCTGAACGGATTATTCGCTCCTGGAGATAAACGACAAGTAACACGACTTGTCCCAAACTTTGAAACGCCAAAAAGATTATCTCGCTTAAAACCACGCCTCAAACGGCTGAGGTTGAGAGTAGAAATCTTAGCATCAAGCCTGAGAGAAACTACTCGACAACTCATCATACTGAGGGGAATAGTATGGCTAGCCCGATTCAAACGATGATCGGTAAAGGCACATCAAACCCGTTGATAGCTGAGGGTTTGCTAAAAATCCTAAAAGAAACCAAGCGCGCGTACTTCGTGAAAGACTTCTTCATTCAAAGTATTCCAGACCACACACAAGCCGGTTTAGGTCTGAAAACTTTGAAGGGGGTCTTGTAGACGGTAAAAAAATACCTCCGTGAGCTTGCAGGAAATTCACCCGAATGATCAACTCGCCTGTATGAGCCAGAATCAACTGGGATAGCGGAATTTCGCCATGGACACAACTCGCCTGCCCGAGTCCAAGGTCGAATCCGCCCGCAAACCCCAAGGCCGCCAATACGGCCAGACATCTGTTACCCCACGTGCTGCGATGGGCTTTCCCTCCTCTCTCGACCCAAAGAGAGAGGACACAGTACTCCAAGACCATCGAGCGGCCGCTCACAGTGCGAAGGACTGGACAGGTGTCGAGTCGACCTGAGCATTCATAAATGCATCTCACCTTGGCTGACTGAGTTAGGAGACGAATCCGCCAGCATTCGGCGAGCTGTCCAAACCCACTCGAGTGCCAGGAACATGCTTTCCCGCCTCTCTTGACCTGAAGAGAGAAGGCACGGCACTCCAGGCCCGCCGAACAGCCGCCCACAGTACAACTGAGCAGACAGATGTCAAAACAGCCTGCATTCTCATAAATGCGACTCACCTCAGCTGTCCAAACAACGGGCAAGAGCCGCCGGCGCTCGGTGGTTGGTCAGATCCACGCAAGCATCCGACAGCCGTTGTCACGCATATGAGGAGGGGCTTTCCCACTCCTACGTGAGGTGATGCAGAGCACAGCTCTTCGAATGACCACTAGTGGTACGAATGGGCAATAGGATAGCTCCGAACAATGTATGGTCACATCCCATAATTCAAGGAGCAGTCAAGCAGTCCTTCTTCCATTTAAAAGCCTCTTCCAGCAAGCTTTGAGAGAGGTCAAAAAACTTGGAGAAAAGCAGTTGAGACCAAGCTGTTCGCATAATCCTTGCATTACAGCACCACTGCCTGGTTCTGAGCCCTGATCGCTGGCGAACCAAGCAGACCCGAACTCCATCGACTTGAGCTTCTACTGTGTACTGAAGCTCTCCAGCAACCTCGATCGAACGGTCAAAGGGAAGCAGACTCGACATAAGCATCAAGCGAAGCGTCCTATTGCCACCTAAAGACCCCACACAAAACAAAGAGGGCATTCCCTCTGCTTCTGTTGTAAACATTTGATTATTAGTTTGTAATAAGCTTTCTTATCAATACAAACGAAACTCCCTGTTTTCGGGAAATCAAATTTACACCCTACAGTCTACTTCAATTTCATGTGAGATATGTGGCTATGTGGGTCATTCTGCACTTCAATGTCAATTAGGAAACCCCCCATCCATTGATACTTCTGGTAATGAGAAAGTTAGCTATGTTAATAACTTTAATCAGAAGGGAGACCCATTCTCCAATACTTATAATCCGGGGTGGAGGAATCATCCTAATTTTTCTTATAGAAACCCACCTGGAAATCCCATGCCTGCATCTAATTTTGGTCCACCTGGTTTTCGTGCTCATCAATCTAATTTCCCTTCTCAAAAGTCAAATTTGGAAAATATGATGGAGAAGTTTGTGACGACTCAATCAAAATTGAATGAAGAGTTTAAGCAGCAACAACAAACCACGAATGAGGTGGTAAAACAATTGGCCTCTAAGATGGATTCCCTAGCTACGCATAACAAGATGTTAGAGACACAAATCACCCAATTGGCACAAAATGTTAGCTCTTCCTCTAGGCCTTCAGGCATGCTACCTGGACAACTTGAGACAAATCCCAGGAGTCATGTGAATGCTATAACTCTAAGAAGTGGAAAACAATATGAGGGATCCAAGATGAAGGAAAATGATGGGGTGGATGGTCATCATGAAGAAAAAAATGAAAACGTGATAGATGTGGATAATGAGACCCAAACGCAAGAAGAAGAAAAAGTTGAAAAATATGTGGCCCCCGCTCCTTACAAGCCTCCTCTACCCTTTCCACAAAGGTTAGCTAAGGCTAAGTTAGAAAAGCAATTCGGAAAATTTTTGGAGATTTTGAAAAAGTTGCACATCAATATCCCGTTCACTGAAGCTATTTCTCAAATGCCTTCTTATGCTAAGTTCTTGAAAGAGATCCTATCTAACAAATGGAAATTGGAAGAATACGAGACTGTGGCCCTTACTGAGGAGTGTAGTGCTATCATCCAGAATAAGCTGCCTCCTAAGCTTAAGGATCCAGGTTCATTTTCTATTCCTTGTGTTATTAGTAATGTCTCTATTAACCGTGCTTTGTGTAATTTAGGTGCAAGCGTAAGTTTGATGCCGATGTCTATTTGTAATTTAGGTCCAATTGGCGGATCGATCGGTAAAATATCCGGTAGGTATACTTGAAGATGTACCTATCCAGGTCGGTAAGTTCTCTATCCCGATTGACTTCGTTATTTTAGAAATAGAAGAAGATTCTAACATTCCAATTATATTAGGAAGACCCTTCCTTGCTACTGCAGGTGCTATAATCGATGTTAAAAATGGAAGGCTCTCTCTAAATATTGGAGGGGAGACGGTAGAATTTGATTTAAGCAATACTATGAAACTCCCTCTAACTGATACAATTTGTTACAGGGTCGACGTCATTGACAAGTGTACACATGAGCAAATTTCAAATAATAACTCAGCTGATCCACTTGAGAAATGTTTGGTAAGTGATGGTTCAATAAATGATGAAGACCCCGAGGTAGCCGCGTATGCTCAATCTTTAGAATCAACATCAACTGCTCCACTTCGAAATGCAAAGCTTGAAAGATTGATGCTAGAGCCAAAAGGTTCTATTTGTGAAGAGGATAATGCACCAAAGGTAGAATTAAAACCCCTCCCTTCCTCTTTAAGGTATGAATTTCTTGGCCCTGATTTTACTTATCCTGTGATTGTGAATGCATGTCTGAATGAAAATGAAACTGATAAGTTGCTTAGAACACTTAGGATGCATCGCAAGGTCATAGGATACACCATGAACGACATTAAGGGAATTAATCCATCAATTTGCATGCATAGAATTCTCTTGGAAGATGATCATAAACCCTCTATAGAACACCAACGTAGATTAAATCCTAACATGAAAGAAGTGGTTAAAAAGGAAGTGCTTAAGCTACTAGATTCTGGGGTAATCTATCCTATTTCTGATAGTGAATGGGTTAGCCCGGTTCATGTGGTTCCTAAAAAGGGAGGTGTGACCGTAGTTAAGAATGCAAATAACGAACTTATCCCTACTAGGACGGTTACGGGTTGGAGGATGTGTATTGATTATAGGAAATTGAACAAGGCAACCCGAAAAGATCATTTTCCACTTCCCTTTATAGACCAGATGTTGGAAAGGTTGGCTAGGCATTCATATTTTTGTTATTTAGATGGCTATTCGGGATTTTTCCAAATTCCTATCCATCCTAGTGACCAGGAAAAGACCACTTTTACCTGTCCCTATGGGACCTTTGCTTATAGGCGCATGCCTTTTGGTCTTTGCAATGCCCCCGCCACTTTTCAACGATGTATGATGGCCATTTTCTTTCATTTTATAGAGGATATTATGGACATGTTTATGGATGACTTCTCCGTGTATGGAACTACTTTTGATGGTTGTTTATCTAACTTGTCTCGAGTTTTGCAGCGTTGCGAATAAGTTAATTTAGTCCTAAACTGGGAGAAATGCCACTTTATTGTAAGGGATGGAATAGTTTTAGGGCACAAGGTGTCTGAGTGCGGAATTGAGGTTGATCGATCAAAAGTGGAAGTCATTGAAAAATTGCCTCCACCAACGTCGGTTAGGGGAGTAAGAAGTTTCTTGGGACATGCCGGTTTCTATCGGCGTTTCATCAAAGATTTCTCAAAAATTTCAAAACCCTTAACTAACCTTCTTCTTAAAGATGCTACCTTTGATTTCACTGATGAATGTCTTGATGCTTTTTGCAGGTTGAAAGAAGCATTGATAACAGCTCCTATTATGCAACCGCCGGACTGGAATCTCCCATTTGAAGTCATGACTGATGCAAGTGATTATGCGGTTGGTGCTGTGTTGGGCCAAAGGAAGAACAAGATAGTTCATGCAATTTATTATGCTAGTCGCACTCTTGATGAAGCCCAAGTTAACTACGCTACCACTGAAAAGGAGCTATTAGCAGTTGTATTCGCCTTTGACAAGTTCAGGTCTTACTTAGTGGGGTCCAAAGTCATCGTTTATACCGACCACTCCGCCATCAAATATCTTTTGAGCAAGCAAGATGCCAAGCCTAGGTTGATCCGATGGATACTACTTTTGCAAGAATTTGACCTAGAGATCAAGGACAAGAAAGGGACGGAAAATTTGGTGGCAGACCATTTGTCGAGGATGAAGCAAGAATCACATGATAAGGAGGAGGATGAACTACCGATCGATGACTCTTTCCCAGATGATCAGTTGTTAGCCATTGAAAGATTGGATGCACCATGGTATGCGGACTTCGTCAATTACATAGTGTGTGGAGTCTTGCCTCCGGATCTGAGCTATCAACAGAAGAAGAAGTTCTTTGCTGACTTGAAGTATTATTTTTGGGATGAACCATTTCTATACAAACGGTGTGTTGATGGGATGTTCAGAAGGTGTATTCCTGAAGATGAGGTTGCCAGTATTCTCCATCATTGCCACTCATCTTCCTACGGAGGACATGCAAGCACTTCAAAGACAGTTGCAAAAGTTCTACAATCAGGTTTCTATTGGCCGAGTCTTTTCCGGGATGCAAGACAGTTTGTGATATCTTGTGATAGTTGTCAGAGGACCGGGAATATTTCGGAGCGACATGAGATGCCTTTACACTCCATCTTGGAAATTGAGGTCTTTGATGTGTGGGTGATAGATTTCATAGGACCGTTCCCGTCATCATGTAACAACAAGTTCATCTTAGTGGCGGTGGACTACGTCTCCAAATGGGTAGAAACGATAGCATCCCCCACCAACGATGCTAAAGTTGTTGTGAAACTATTCAAGAACGTTATTTTTCCAAGATCCAACGATGCTAAAGTTGTTGTGAAACTATTCAAGAACGTTATTTTTCCAAGATTTAGGGTGCCACGGACGGTAATCAGTGATGGAGGTTCACACTTCATTGAAAGAAAATTCGAAGCTCTCTTACGATAATATGGGGTCACTCATAAGGTTGCCACGCCATACCATCCTCAAACTAGCGGTCAAGTGGAGGTTTCGAATCGAGAAATCAAGAGTATCTTGGAGAAAACAGTTAATTGTTCGAGAAAGGACTGGTCTATGAAACTCACGGATGCCTTATGGGCCTATCGAACTGCCTACAAAACACCCATAGGTATGACACCATTCAAATTGGTATATGGCAAATCGTGTCATCTCCCAGTTGAGTTAGAGCATAAGGCGTATTGGGCTATCAAGTTGCTAAATTTCGATATGAAGGCCGTAGGTGAGAAAAGAAAGCTTCAACTTCATGAGCTAGATGAGCTACGATTAGATTCCTATGAGAATGCTTGCATTTATAAAGAAAAGACTAAACGATGGCACGATAAGAATATCCTTCGAAGAGAGTTTAATCAAGGAGATATGGTATTACTTTTCAACTCTCGTTTGAAGCTTTTTCCGGGCAAGCTCAAGTCTAGGTGGTCCGGACCGTTTCAAATCCGCGAGGTTTTTCCTAGTGGAGTTGTTGAAGTCTGGAGTGAAACAACGGGATCTTTCAAGGTGAATGGGCAACGATTGAAGCACTACATTGTAGGGGAACAACACGAGAAAGGGGTCACTTATACCCTTTCCGATCCCCCTTCGTCGGATAATTAAGCGCAAAAAGGGGTCGAGCTCAAGACCATAAACGAGCGCTTCTTGGGAGGCAACCCAAGTTTTCATCCATTTTATTTATCTTATTTTATTTTATTTTATTTAGGCAATTGGATCGGCATAAATTTAACTTATAATATTTTTGATCATGTAGTTGTGAAGAAATGAAGACATTAAAAAAAAACTACAGAAAAAGGAGTTAAAGATGGAGTGGCAGAGCCTACCACACCCCGGGATGGTGTAGACCACACCCACGGTGTACAGTAAAAAAAAAATTCAGAGCCTACCACACCCAGGGGTGGTGTAGACCACACCCACGGTCCACAGGAAAACAAATTCCAGACTCTCCCACACCCATCTCCCACACCCGTGGGTCGCTGGTTTAAAAAAAAAGAAAAGAAATAAAACCGAAAATAAAACCCCTCTTCAACCCAGCAACCACACCCCTCTTTCCCCTTCACCATCATCTCCGACCACCGACCGCATCCACCTCCTCAGCAATCACCTCTCACCGCCGAGATCCACCCAACTTCGCCGTCATCTCCGACCGCCGCTCACCACGAACACCGCCGACCAGACCGCAAATCACCCCATTCCCTCTCTCCGATCACATGGCCGGCGTCTCTCTATCCTTTTCCGATCATCCCCAACAGCCGCCGTTCCTTCACCATCTCCGATTAGCAACCAACCACCACCCCCCTTCATCACTGCAGAAACCCCTCTTCGACCCCCAACAACCGACCAAAATCCCCCACCACTGTTTTGATTTTGCGGCACAACAGCCAGCGGTTGCCTTCAACATCTTCTGTCAACTGCATTTCGGAAGGCTACATGGGACCTAAGCGCGGACGGATTAGCCAGGGAGCCTCAAGTTCTAAGTCCCGACGACAAAAAGGTAACCCTTCCCCTCCCCAAAATCCTCATGATATAGAATTTGTCAATGAACAACAACAAAATAGGTATAATACACTGGTTAAGCGGGGAATTTTGAGTACCCGCTATTTGGATGAGAATTGTTTGCGTAAGTTAGGGCTGTGGGATGATGTTTCATACCTCCTAAGACGGGTTGGTTGGTTAAATTTTGTTGAGGCTAAACACCACACGTATGAGCGTATTACTCTCGAATTTTTGAGCTCTCTTGATGCTGTTTTATTTAATGGTGAGGGTGTAAAGGAAGGGAAAATCACTTTCAGGCTATTTAACCAGTCTCACACACTTACATTAGCACAATTAAATCAGATATTTGGTTTTCCGGAGGGTGGGGCTAGAATTGTTCCCAAAAACTTTAACTTGACCCCATTTTGGACTTCAATCGCACGCTCTACCACTCAAAGACCTTATGATCCCTCCTTGTCACGAGCCTCTGCTGTTTATAACCCATGCTTTAGATATTTACAGAGGTTCATGGCTTTTACCATTTTCGGTCGAGGCGAGAGTGATGGAATCATGTGTCAGAGAGAACTTTACTTTTCATGTGCCATGGTTGAAGGACATAAGATTGACACAGGAGCTTTTATGATTCATCATATGTGTCGTGCAGCGAGAGCAACGAGCGGAAAAATTGTTTTTGGGGCTTGATTACCACTTTAGCTTACGGGATAGGTTTAGGAGAATTTGTAGATGGACTTCATCCATTAAGCCCTAGTGCGTCCATTAACCTCGATGCTTGTCTACATATGAAATTGATTAGTAATAAGGGCAATATATTATGGTTATGTTTTCAGGATAATTATCTTTTCCCACTCCCTGATCCTGATCGCACGACCATCCATGTTCATGCCAATTGGTCCTACCTAACATCTGATTTTATGATTTGTGATGGTCATGAGGTTGTGCCAGCTGAGGATGCTGACACGGTACCCCCGATCCCTATTTAGGCTGAGCCTACCAGGGGAACTAACTCTTTCCATCACCCTGATTGGTCAGCGGAATTATCAGCTATCCATATTTCTCTTCCTTCTCTTACTAACCGTGTAGGTGCCATCGAGCAAGAGCAACAACGTCAAGGACAACTACTGGACTCTATACACTACATGATGCAGTCTTTTCACGAGCGACATGTCCGACAGGATGCCTCAGCGCCGCCTCCTTCTGACCAGCGAGTTGGTATGTCCTCTGCACCCTTGCACTAATTTTTATCTTATTACATTGAGGACAATGTAGATCTTAAGCTTGGGGTGTGGGTTGTTTATGCATTGATTGCTGTCGATAATTGCTTGTTTTTCTTTTATTTTAGTTCTTCTTTTGCTTTGTTCCAAAAAACAAAAACAAAAACAATTAGGGAAATGATCTCCTGATGATGACATGAATGCTTAACCTTTATCGATCATTGAACTAGATAGATGCTCATTAATTGGGACTTGACAACTTCTTATACCATCTTTCAACTGATTCTCAAAGGCTTTTGATTACAAGTTAACAATATGGGAGAACCAGACTTGAATGTTCTCTTGTCTTATAGGTTTTAGCGTTTATGTGGACTAGCATCATGACCATTACTCTATTGAGACAAGAGGGGAATTAAATTTGGTAGACAAATAAAACCCGTGAGATTTTGAGCCTGAAATTGGATGCATTACATATCCAATCATTATTTTCTTTTCTTGTGTGATATTCTCCAATGGTGTAGGATACTAGAACTTGCATTGAATCTCTTCAAGGCCACATATAACTTTTGTATGCATAAAAGGTGATTGAGGTACATTTTTGTTTATAGTCCACATTTGCCAAATAGCCTACCATGCACTATTGTTCCCTTTGATTAGCCCCCTTGAGCTTATAAGCCTAATTTTTGTTGATTAAACCCACATATGTAACATTCAAAACCCGATTTTATTCCTTACCCATTGCCTAAGCTAGTGGAGCACATTTTATGATACAATGGGTTATGTGAGTAATGTGGTGTAAGCTTGGGGGTGTGAAAGTAGGCGTTTGCTTCCCTTTTCATAATTCTTTCGGAAAAAAAAACTAATTCGAAAAAAAAAGATGAATAAAGTGTCATCTTTATGGTGTATGTAATTGCGGGTGTCGAAAGAATTTATTATGGCATACTAAAATGAGTAGTTGGAAGAAGTTCTTTAATAGATGATGGAGTTTGTGTAGATGTCATTGATCTTACTTTGAGATATAATCTTTTGCAATCATAGCTCCACTAGTGATAGGTTTTCAACCAATTCCAAATATCTATCCTACCCTTTTGACCCTAGCCCCATTACAACCAAATAAAAGACCTCATGATTTTGTTGCATACCTTAGTTTTAAAAGTGGTGGAGAATTGAGATGAAATGCAAGCTTATGGATTGAATACATCCATCCGGAAGAATTTTGAGTGATACAATCCCATCCTTCAACACATGAGAGATTGAGAGTCCACTTATCCTAAAGTGAGGTTTACCAATTTAACTACCTGAAGGTCTCAATTTTTGTACTTTGGGATTGAAGCTAGTTACATGAATTTCTTTTTTCTACTTTGACTTGAGAATTAGATAGGATGGCTATCCTTGACTTGTGACGCTTGTGATCGTAAATAAATTTTGAAATGTTATTTTGTTGAGAGTTTTGGAAATTAATTTGTTAAGTCCCGATGAAAAGTATTTGTTTTGTGATATGTTTGATATTGGTTAAAGGATTGATGAGGGGGTGATCCCTACTCTATTTGGCTTTCACTCCTCCTAATTTTTATTATTTATTTGCTTGAGGACAAGCAAAAGTCTAAGCTTAGGGGAGTTGAAAAACACGTAAAATATGCATTATCTTAGTGTGTTTCAAGCATGATTTACGAGCGTTTGATGCATATTTCATGTTTAGATCGAGGATACTGCTGTTGTTTTTGTTCTTATATGTAGGTATTGGCTCAAGATTGAAATATTTGATGATCGTTGGAAGTTTTACAAGAATTTGAAGCAACAACAAGATTTTGAAGGCATGGTTCGTGAAGAAAATGGATGCATGAGTATAAAGAACTGAAATTTTGACCATGATGCAATTTGAAACAAGAAATACTCAAAAGATAAAAGTTGTAGATCTCTTCAACAAGATTCCAATTCAACTTGAATCACCTCATTCTGAGGTCGGACGCAAAAGTTATAGCCAAAATACCGAAGACTGTACAGACAAGCACGAAATCAGCAAAACAGCCCCTACCACACCCTGGTGTGGTGCAGACCACACCTGTGGCACGGGAGTTAGTTATTTTCCAGATTTTTGGGAACATATAAATAGATATTTTGACTTAGGGTTTTGGATATCTTTTGTTATGTTCTTTTAGCCATCAACTAGCAACTATTCTAGGGTTCAAGTATTGAAGGAAGACGTTAATCACTTGTAGAAGATTGGATTGCAAGTTCTTATTTTGAAGATTTCAATTGAAAGATGGGTTAATTCTTTCCTCTCTTTGATTTATTTCTTCTTATGATTGATTTGCATAATTATTTGATGTCTTCTCTTATTCCAATCATGTGTGAGTAGATTTCTTGTCTAGGATTGGGAAAGAACCCAACTTTTTGGTGATTGATGATGAATTGATATAGGTTCCTGGTGAAAGTTTAAATCTTTGAACTTGATTTCTAGTGTTTTAATTTTATTGATTCGCTTGATCACCGTATTAGCAATCATAGGTAATTAATTGAAGGACTGAAAGGTGAAGATTAATACCGAATCTCTAGAAATTAGTGAAGATTAATACCGGATCTCTAGAAATTAAGCAGGGAGCTCGAACCACGAAAGTAGGCTAGATTCCTTGGGGATTTGATTTGGGTTAGCATAAAGCTTAATGGGTTTAACTTAATCTTAATTCCACGAAAGTAGGTTAATTGAGATTAATTAGGCACGATCTTTAGACCTTGAGAGAGGCTTTAGATTAATTTAGGCTAATTCACCATTTCTACATTAAACCAACACCAAGAATTGAAATAATTCATCATTGAACACCTAAGTTGTGGTAATAACCCAATCCTAGTCCTTCATTATATTGAATTCCATCCGATTAGCTGTTTATTTTAGTTCTTTTATTTAATCTCTTCTAATTCACTCATTGATTTAGCTAGTTGAAAACGTGAAACTTGGTAGATAACCCCTAGTCCTTGTGGGATCGACCTTGATAGCTACAACGAGTCCGTGCGCTTGCGGATTTTGCCCATCAGTGTTAAGCGCTGACTTATCCCTACTTAGGCTTCGGAATAAAGTTCCACGTGCGTGTAAAGCACGAATTATGGTGTCAATGTTGGATTTGTAGGCTTTTGTCTTTTTTACGATCAAAGACTAACCGGCAACACGTGTTAAGCGCTGACTTATCCTTACTTAGGCTTCAGGATAAAGTTCCCAATGCGTGTAAGGCACGAATTATGGTGTTATTAATAACAACCTGCCACAATATCGAATATGTGGGCTTTTGTCCTTTTTACCGTTAAGGACTAACCGGCAACGCGTGTTAGGTACTGACTTATCCCTACTTAGGCTTCAGGATAAAATTTTCCAGATTTGGATTCTGGTATCTTCTTCAATCAGTAAAAGACTAAGTCGGTAACGCGTGTTAGGCGTTGACTTATCCTTTCTTAGGATTCGAGATAAAATTCCCCATACATGTAAGGCACGGATTATGAGAGTTATAATGTTGAAATATTATGTCTTCTCTTGGGGCAAAGATGAACCTGATGTGGGAGAGGAAGAATTTTATATTCTTCTCTTGGGGCAAAGATGAACCTGATGTGGGAGAGGAAGAATTTTATATTCTATCTCCTAAAGCTAAAGAGAAATAATTTTATATTCTATCTCCAGTTACCAATGGAAACTCAAAGTGGGATCTCCACTTCAAGAATCCGGGAAGGTGAAACTAAGAGTGGGATCTCCACTCCAAGAATCAAAAAGATTCGGATAATCCTAATTATCGAAAGGTTTGATTACCGAACTAAAGACGGGTTTCTCATTTATCGAGAGTAAAATATGGGTTTAGCTCTAACTATAGGAAGGTTTAACCAAGTGGGAGGTTTGAGATGACCCTAACTATAGGAAGGTTTGATAGCTCGATTTAAAAGTGGACCTCTTATTCATGGAAGGAATCAAGAGGAGATTTTGGTTGTGACCCTAACTGTAAAAAGGTTTGACCAAATGGAGGGTTTGAGACGATTCTAACTGTTTAAAGGTTTGATCATTTAATTTGTGGACCTCTTGTTCATGGAAAGAATCGAGAGGGGATTTTGATTATGGTCCTAACTGCAATTAGGTTTGACCAGGTAGACAGTGAGAGTGGGAGTACAAATCATAGTGAGAGTGTTGACTTGTACCGATTACTTAGTGGGGGTTCTTAGTGTTAAGTGATAAGTACTTAACACGAAGGGGTTTGACAATTTGTGAAGGATTGACAGATCAAAATTCTAAGCATTATGTCCGGACTCTAATCATGGAAGTGTTGAGTGCACAGACATAGCGGGAGTTTGAGTGGATTAAACCAGAAAGAATTTTAGTGGACCCACCATCAATTAATTTGATTAGTGAGGGACTTTGTGGTGGAAGATTTTGAATCATCAAATATCAGTGGGAGTTTTTTTTGTGAGGGAAGATTGATCCAACGAAGTGATCAAATCTCGTCTTAGCAAAAGAGTGCTTGAAAGTTGGTGAAATTGATCCCGACAATTGAATGTGTTTCACTCTTGGAAGCATTCAGAGTCAAAGTGGGAGTTTCTTATTTATCACTTCTTTATAGTGATGGGGTTATCCTTAAGAATACACTATATAGCATTCTTCCGGGAACTTCCCGTTATATGAATCATCCACCCCCAGCTTCCTTTGTGAAACCGGGTCTAATATTATACATAGTTGGATGACAGGGTTATCCTTAAGATTACCAGGCATGACACTTTCCAAGAACTTCCCGTGAAAGAAAGGAAATTGTTTAGACTCATATACCTGTTGGAGTAATGATAAGCAGTTTATACTCGTATACTCTTCGGAGTGTTGGAAGGAGCAGTTTATACTCTTATACTTGTCGGAGTCTTCATTCAGCTTAATTTAGCGCTATAATGTCAGCTTCAACCAAGGTT